TCACTGACATCCTATATGATGGTATATTGGAATGTGTATTCTAGGAGTTATTCACATCATACCTGCAGGGATAGCCTCAGTCACAGGAATAAAAACATACATGGAAATAACACTAAAGGCATGTTAAATTGTAAATTAAAATCAATTTTTATATATTAAAATAATACTTTTTATATATATATATATATATATATATATATATAAAATTTAGTCACTGTAATTCCCCCTATATAAAGTGCCTTCATCCATAATACACATCCCTAAAATTATACTGAAAGTGTGGGGAAGATGCTTCTACTCATGCATCATAATACGTACCCCTTGTTTGGTAATCAAACCCTATAAATTGTTCCTCTTCAATTTCATTAGGGCAAGAGTTTCCTGCTCTTATTTTTAAAAAAATGGTTTTAAAAAGAAAAACATTATTCTAATTTAGTTTTATGATAATTCTTATTTTATTTTATGGCAATTTTTTAAAGATTTTTTTTGTAGCTGTGCATAAGTAAAATCGGGGGTTGGGGTGCATATTATTTTTAGAGAGAAAGAAAATGCATATTATACATGGGGGAATTATGGTAGTATGTGTTTGAAGGTTTCATGTACTGGAAGAAGAAAGTCACTTCATCTTATGACAACCAAGGAAAGGAGATGGATATCTTGAGGATCTGTAGTGAAGAGAAAAACTTTGGCATTTTTTTTTTTTTTTTTTGCATAAAGTATCCATTTCCAAACAGACAACATTGTGTTTCATGCTAGGAGAGCTTTTATTTTTATTGTGTCCCTACAGTGTAAAAGCATACAAAAATAACACCTGTCATATGTAGCAGTTAAAATCAAATCTAGTGTCGCTGACAAAACTAACCTGGCCATTTGTCTCGAAAAGGACCTCCAATCGGTTGTGGACTGGGGCAGGAATCAGCTAGTTAACTTTAATACCTCAAAAACAAAACTGTTCTCTATTACTCACCACAGAGAACCATCTCTGCCTCCCATTAGAATGTCTGATGCTCAACTCCACAAGAGCAGCTCTCTGTGACTGCTCAGTCTCACACTGACTGCTGACCTGAGATGGAACAAATACATTGAGTCAATAGCTTCATCCACCACAAGGAAAGTTGATTTGTCCTTGCATGGAGTATTGCTGCCAAATATGGACTGGAGCCCCTTCTGTTTGTCTCAAGGTCCTTGATAAAATCCAGTGACAGATATGTATTGTAATTGGCCCTTATCTGGCATCTCATCTGCAGTTGCTCTCTTATAGACATGTCATCGCCTCCCTCTGTCTTTTTTACAAATACTTTCATGGTAACTGCTCCAATAAACTGCTTTCACTGGTTCCCAGACTTCATGAATTTAAGCGTTCAGCTAGGCTGACATCTTGCTCTTACCCTTTCACTGTCGAAACTGTTAAATATAGCCGTCTCTTCTACTTCAATAGCTTCATGTCTCGCACTTCTTGCCTGTGGAACTCCCTCCTGTTTCCCTGATAGGTATAATCTCCAACTATTCAAATGTAATGTCAATCAACGTCTCCAGATGCCTTGATCTATCCCCTATCCTTCTCTTCATTCTTTCCTCTATTACTCCTATTTGCTCTCACTCCAACCTCTTGCGTGCTAGTGGCTTCCTGCCTTGCTTGGGGTGAAACGCTTAAAAAAAAAAATGTAAACTTACATTACTTCCAATGATCTGACTTAACCAAGATATATAGAAATCACTGCAAAGAAAAATGTGTATTGGTGTAGAATTTAGCTTATCTACCTCATGTATATACCCAAAGACATGAATAGCACTTCAAAGAGTAATGGCTTCTATGGAAACAAGATCAAGTAAGCACAATATCATTTCATAGAGTAGTTTTGTCTAGAAAAACACTATTTTCATCACATAGCCATTTTAATGTAAGAGCCACATCCAAGAAAGTTCAGATGTTTGAGAGCTGCAAGACATGAACAAAATTAACACATACATTTTTGTTACATATGCATTATCATTATCTGTCTAAATTTCTAAGATGAGGTATTATATACACTATTTACATTATTTAGACTATTGTCCTCATCTTTGTCGCCATATTTATTACAACGTTTTGGCTGTTGTATGCTCTGGCCTTCTTCAGGTGGTTGGAATATTGAACTGAACCCTTTATTTTGTTCACTGGGATAGACTGTTCTAGTTCCACGTGCCATGTTTAATGAAAATCAGTTATCAGTTATCTCCTGTTAATTTCCCTCCCCAAGTTCTTCATCGCCTTAACCAGTGATCCAGTGACAGGACCCAAAGAGTGAGAGTTCAATACCTGGTTAAGGCGGTGGAGAACTTGGCTGACTGTAGGTTGCCATTTCTTTCTATAGTAGACTGGTTGGCAACGAAGGCTATAGGACCCATTTCATCCATAACTGGAGGGAGAAGAAATGGATTTATACCTTCCCCAGGGGTATTTAACCCCTTTCCCAGGGTAGATGTGTATATATATTTTTACAGAGTGTTTTTTCAGACATGGACAAAATAAACAAGTCCAAAACAATGTTCAAAAACCAGAGGTGTTTATATGTCAATCTTTATTCTTTTTATGCTCTTCTGAGCTTGAAACTAGTTCAATTGTCAACTCATATGTTTGGTAGAGGTTGTAGCCACTGTGCAGGTACTTCAAAGTGCCCCTGTTTCTTAGTATATTAAAAAAAAAAAAAAAATTGTCTGAAAATGAAATGTTTTTCCCAAAATAATTGGTGGGGAAGGGAGTTAACAAATCTGAATTTGGCTCCCTGATGTCTCATTCCAAGTTGATATCCACTAAACCACAACACACATATGAAATGTAAAAAAAATATAATCTAAGTGTTGGATACTATGTCTCTCCTACACCATCCTGGATGTAAGTATCAACCTATCTCTGATTTGGAGAAAAATTCCCCTGGTGACCACCTGTTATTAAATATTCAAATGCAATGCATTGTCTTAGAATTAAGGAGCATGTTGTAATAAGACTGGTATGGATTGATTTTTTTTTTTTTTTTTTTTTTTTGTTAAAAGGGGGCCATGTCTTAGCTCATCCATTTCACAATCAAAAAGATACTCAAAAAAATATTCTTTATTTGGTGCTTGTCTTCATTTTTCGTAATGTTAAAAACCATGCACAACTGTCACCCATGACAGCTCTAATTTTTTTTGCCAATGCTTAACCTTCAAAACCTTCTCAAAATTCTGCAAGGCATTTGCAAAATGTGCTTGTACCTCAATAGCTCCAGGGACTCATTGCCAAGATTCTGTTTGCTCTTTGCCAATACCCAAAGAGGGTGTGTCTTATATGCCATAAAATAAAAGTACAGATGCCTAAACTACTGTATGTTTTTACAAGTGCAGTAACACAGGATCTTAATTGTTTAAATATTAAATGCGTGGTTAATACCAGGACTTCCCCCTTCAACTTAAAGTGGGGCAAATATTTTAACACTTCTGCTACTGTGGATGCACTTATACATGTTTACGAAACTTACACCCAAAAGCAATGTATGCATACAGTGCTGTTTTATATAGTGATTTTCCAAGCGTAGCTTAGATGTGGCACAAGGCCAAAAGTATGAGGGCACCCAGTGAGGATCAAACTCACTATTCAATTTTAATTTTTCTAGCAAGACAAGCTTGTTAACCATTACACCACCTGGAGGCTAATATAGGCTGAAGCCCAAGAGCTGTCTAGTTTTGGGGGTCCTGATTAAACTAAAAAAATATAAAGAACAGAAGATTTGTTTATTTTCAGATTTAATGAGTTCACCTTTGAACTATTTTTACTATGTTTTGACCGTTGTACACTCCAGCCTTCTTCAGGTGGTTGGCATGTCGAGCTGAACTCTTTATTTCACTCACTGGGATACTGTTCTAGTTCCACATGCCATGTTCAATGGATTTATCTCCTGTTAATTTCCCTCTGAAAGTTCTCCACTGCCTTAACCGGGTATTGAACTCACACACACACACAAAAAAAAAAAAAAATTTGCAATATGAGCACTGGTAAAAAAAAGGTTGCTGAAAACAGTTTTATAATACCCAGAAATTCATACCCAGATGTCCTCTAGGACATATGGCACACTGGATAAAGGCGTTGGTTAGATCCAATGACAGGACCCAAATACCCGTTGTAATAAATATGGCGACTAAGATGAGAACAATAGTCCTAATAATTTAAATAATGTACCTTTGAAATAATTTAGAGAATTTGGGCCCCTGTAGTTGAGGTGAAGGTTTTAAATTAGTATTTTCTACTTTATTAGAATATGGTACCAATTTAGGTCCCACTTGATTGTGTGTTTATTCACACAGCCATTGTCTGGAAAGTAGTTGTAATTCAACTTCACAGGGAACATCAAAGTTTGATTCTGCAAGCTAAAAATGACTACTTAAGCCAAATATAGAATATAGACTTGCAAAAATGACTACTTAAGCCAAATATAGAATATAGACTTGCAGTTAAGATTTCAGTATTTAGGGAAGCTTCCTCTTGGGAGTCTGTTCTATTAAAGTACTAGCTCTTGAGAAGAATTTGTTAAAATGGACCAAGAATGGTTTGTCAATTTGAAATCTGGAAGAAATGTAGTTGTGGGGGTTCCTTTCATGTCATAGCAGAAATTAGCCTTGTTTTCATGGAGAATAAAAGCATACTTGACCGAAAAAATATTTACAAAAACAGGAAAAGCCTGGTAAATTGTTAATTAATATTTTTGTGTGTGTTTTTTTTTTTTTTTTTTACAATTGTTTTATGGTATACATGTGATAAAAAAGGGAGAATTTACTCCATAGAATTACAAGCCATATCACAAATATAAGTTGGACACGTCTTGCTTATAACAAGGTTCATGTTGAAGAGATTGAACTCAATGTCACTTGGCTGGATGCTTGTATTTCTACCAGTTTTTGTTGCATGCTGAGAGTATTTATATTTTATATAATGTTTTCATGTTATCATTTTCAATAATATTCTTAGTACAGTAATTTGCAAAGAAATGGAGTGCAGCCTTTCCTCTCTCTCCACCCCTATGTACAGATAAATGGCAACATAAGAATGGAATTGGTTCAGACATGTTCATAGAAATATATTTTTTTAGTTATAATTTGTGCATAATTTTCTTTTTCAGACTTCAAAGGGAACTTGCTGAGATTACAGTAGACCCCCCTCCAAACTGCAGGTAAGTAATATATTTAGTGCTGGTTTTAATGTAGATGCCTCTACAACATCACTAAAATATTAGCATACTGTGTTAATGAAAATTAAAACATCTACATTGAAAGATGAAATAATTGTTGGATGCTAATGAGACCTTCAGGTCTTATTTATAAATAAATGGAATTATTTTACAAATTTTTGAAAACTTTTTTTTTTTTTTTACAAAAATTTAATATTATTATAATATTATATCAAATATAATATTATTATTATAATATTATTAATAAATAATAATATTAATATTATAATAATAATATTATTATTAATAATATATAATAATAATATTATAATAATAATATTATTATAATAATAATAATATAATAATAATAATATAATATTATAATAATTAATATTATTAAATAATAATATAATAATATTATATAATATAATGGTATTATTATATTATAATATTACAATATAACATTATTATAATAATATTATTATGTGTGTGTGATATTATTATAATCCCGGAATTATCACATATATGTGTGTATGTACCAATTGTGTGTTAATATAGAATACATATTATGTATTATTAATAATAATACACATTATTATTAAATAATATTATAATGTTACACACACATATAGTCTTATTATATGTGTGTGTGTGTGTGTGTGTGTTGTTGTTGTGTTGTGTGTGTGTGTGTGTGTGTGTGTGTGTGTGTGTGTGTGTGTGTGTGTGTTGTGTGTGTGTGTGTGTGTGTGTGGCTGTTGTTGTGTGTGTGTGTGTGTGTGTGTGTGTGTGTGTGTGTGTGTGTGTGTGTGTGTGTGTGTGTGTGTGTGTGTGTGTGTGTGTGTGTGTGTGTGTGTGTGTGTGTGTGTGTGTGTGTGTGTGTGTGTGTGTGTGTGTTATTATTATTAATAATAATAATATTATTATTAATAATGTGTTATTATTGATGTGTATTGGTATTAATGTGTGTGTGTGTGTGTGTGTGTGTACACACATACACACACACATTATTATTAATAACACACATATTAATAATGTGTTATCTAAAAAAATTCCTGTACTGTACTCTTTTCATTCTTTCAGTGCTGGCCCGAAAGGCGACAATTTGTACGAGTGGGTGTCGACAATCTTTGGACCAAAAGGATCTGTATATGAAGGCGGGGTCTTCTTCCTAGATATTCACTTCACAAATGATTATCCATTTAAACCTCCAAAGGTATGTATTCTGCATTGACAAATATTATATTTTTTGAGCCCTGGAAAGTTCTAATTCTGATCTGGCTTGTGGCCCTCGCTCCGTCTAAGAGAAAGACTGCTTTGAATTCAAAGCAGTCTAAGTTATCAGGAAACCACTATCAACAGAGCTGTTGACTACATCCTGAAGAGACACGGCATTTAATAGCAAGATAAATTGGTCTATCATGCATTAAGAGACTAATCTCAATTCAATTCAAGAAACCAATCAATTTGAAATGACAAACAAATTTTACATCAATGAAGAAAAAGAATACCCAAGCCAGATCTGGCTATTTAATATTTTTCTCAGATGCTATCAGGATGTTCTGAAGATTGGAAACTTGATACTTTTATATTACATATGCTCTATCCATGATATTGAGTACTTTTACTCATAAATGTAATATACATTATCTAGAGGATGTCAGTGTGTCCTACTTTTTTTCACTTTACTCCTACAAGCTGTAACCCAACATATCCTACCATTTTGGAATCGAGCCAACTCTGTGGATTTAAATTTAGGAATAATCCAGCAAAAGTCACCCATTAAATAAAAATAATTGTACAAAAAGCAAGGACCTCAAATTGTCTGTAAATTAAGTGGCACTAGAGAAATATGTAATACTTAAATGCAGCAGTCAATTTTGAGTTCTTCTATAGCTTGTTGCCTATCGCACATTGTGATGAAGTAACAATGAGAAAGCAAATATTCAAATTGCAGTAATTTTTTTTTTTTTTTTTTTAATCAATTCTCCTCAAGCATGGTTAAATGCCACAAGGAGCTACTGACAGTAAAAGAGAAGGAGAAGACTTTAGGAAACCCAGTCTTAAACGTGGAAACTGTTCGAAGGACCCAGGAGATGGTTGAACCAGATGATAGGTCTATATATTCCCAGGACGGAAAAAATAAATAGTAAATAAAATAAGTGTTTAGGCAGAGTTGTTCAAATATGCTAAAGAAAGGTACAAATTCATCACTTCTCCTCCCAGCTGTGTTAAGTAGCAGGGCAGACTGGGTTCTATAGCCTTGGTTGCTAACTATTCTAGAGGTGTTGACTCCATAAAAAAGTCACCCATCTCCCAGGAAGCCTGGACTATCCATGGGGATGCATCAACCCATGAAAACAGGGATTGAAAGTCTCCAGTCATAGGAATTGCACATTTGCCACAAGTGGAGAAAACATTAAAAAAAATAAAATTGAATAAGTTTCAATTACTATCAGCTATAACTGAGCAGTACTAAATAAGAACAAGATGAGATATCCCTAGACATGGACTGTTGAAGAAGAAATTAAATAAAGAGATTACTTCAAAATTCTACATTCTATACTCAAGATTGTCCAATGGGACAATAGCCTCATGGATTAAGGTTTGGGAATTTACTGACATAGTAGTTATGAATTCAATCTCTTGTTCAGGATGTGCAGACTTGAACTCGATCAATAACTGAGCAGTATTAAATAGAAACAAAATATCTCTTGACATGCTTAGCAGAATAAGAACAATCTACTCCCATAGATTAAATAAAGAGTTCAGTTTGTAATTCCCCTCAGTTATTGATTGGTGGAAACGGAGCAAGCAATAACTGAGCAGTACTAAATAAGAACAAGACAAGATATCCCTAGACACGAATCATCTAACAATTGGAGGACTTCTGCTATATATGGGCAGGAGCTACCCAGTCTTCACTTTCTGCAGAATCCAAAAGCATTCCACATTCTTGTGGGTGATGAATTACATTGGTGAGATGTAAGTTCTACTTGAGCAACTTCTTCCTCACAAACTTCTGTTTTGTCTAACCAACTTCCAAGAGGATGCTTCCTTGATCACTATAACCTTGACGGTTAGCCCTAGACTTGAACAGGTTATCTTCCCCACATAACTCCATTAAAACATACCTCTTACTCTGTAACCCTCTACCTAGAGTGGCTTCTGGGCCTTATACAGGTGATCATTATTGTTAAAAAAGTTTGTTTTTTTTTCTTGTCACAATAGGGGTAAAGTAGTAAATATATAACATGTAAAATGGGCACCTCAGCATGGTGCAATGGTTAGCAAGCTTGTCTCACTAGGTCAGTTACGACTGAAAAGTGAGTTCAATCCTCACTAGGTACCCCCTACATTCAGCCTTGTGCCACATCTAAGCCACACTTGGAAAGAAGATCATAGGGGCACCTTGAGGTTGTGTAATGGTTAGCAAGCTTGGCTCACTAGAACAATTACGACTGAGTAGTGAGTTCGATCCTCACTGGGTGCCCCCTAATTTCAGCCTTGTGCCACATCTGAGCTACACTTGGAAAATCACTATAACACATGTAAAAAAAACTTACCTTTTGTATGTCTTACCTTTTGTATGTAAAAGTTTATTTAAAATGCAATTTTTTTTTTTTTTTTTTTTTTTTACAGCTGACAATGAGGTTCATTGTCAAGATAAAATTCTTAGGTTAATAATTCTAAAGAATTTTATAAAAATAAAAAATATCAATAACAACACCAGATTATATATCTTACAGTTCTTTCTTTCTTATATTATATATTATATTATATATATAAATTTTCTTCAGTTTCTTGATAGAGTTCAAAAGCATCTCTAAGTTCTTTTTCATCATCCAACCTCTCTGCTCGATCATTACTTCCATGGACGAACTACATTCCTTGGTTCAGACTGCTATGTCTGACCTTCATAGCTAGGACCCACCCTGCCAATTACATAGGAAACCACCCACATTCCATCGTCAAGAAGTAAATTCTACTCAAAAAGCTTCTTCCCGTGAACCACTACTTTATGGAACAGACTCCCAACAGAATGTTTCTCTGATAACTACAGTCTTAACCTGTTGAACTGTAGAGTTTTATCTTCTCCTCCCCTATTTATGTAACTCTCTACCTTTAATGGGTCACTTGTCCTTGTACAAGGAAAACTTTACTGCAAATAAAAAAAAAAAAAAATTAATTTAATCATTCTTCTTAATGTCAATGGAAAGTAATTGCAATAAATTGTCAAAATTTTAACTCATGACTTCTGGTTTCGTTTGTTTTATGGCATATCAACCTCAATAGGTTATTTAATGCTGTCAACAATTTTCTTCAAAAATCTGTTCTTGGGAATTTTTTTCATAAAAATATCGCTGATAATAATTTTTCCTTCAAAAATTATTGCTGGCAATATTTTTTTTATTACAAAGTATTTCTGGTATTAAAACCTATTTTTACACAAGTTTGGGTGTCAACTATTTGCCCATAGCTGAGACCCTAACAGGTGCTACCACCCTGGGTCGGGGTAGATCAGGGAACACCAGCAATTAAGAGGTGGTTCCATGCTCCTCAAAACTTCCCGATCAGAGGCCTTGCTGTTGGACGTAGTTTATCGTCATACCCAAGACAGTCATGACTTCCAGTTTTTTTCGTTTTTTTTTTTGTTTGTTTGTTTTTTAATAATAATATATAACAAGGTCAACAAACATAGAATTTATGTGAAATTAACTACAGAATTGTTTTTTTTAAACTTCAGTCTACACTTAAAAGGTTAGTAATCAGAGTTATTTCCCTTTGACACAAAACTCAATTAACAGTTAGCAACAGAGGACATGTGATTAAATATACTTTAATGTTTAAAAAAAAAAATTATTCAGTATTATTATTGTTTAGGTAATAAGCATTATAACAGCACAGATAGCTATAATGTGGAAAAAAGAATGACAATATTCACGTTTTCCTTACATATTTATGTTTTATTTTTAACTTTTACCAGTATTCTTGTACATATAGTTATCGATAATATTATGCATTAATTAATTTTTTCTAACTAATTGTGCTCAGTTGTTGACATTAATAGCTACCTGCTGATGTGTTGAAATTTTGGAATATTGCAATAACAAAAATTTGAATTTTAATCTCTGATAAATGTGATCTGTTCATGGAATACAGTGCAGTTTTCAATACGACTAATTATTCTCTTCATTTAATTATTCCTCTTACTTACAGGTGACATTTCGTACTCGGATATATCACTGCAATATTAATAACCAGGGTGCTATCTGCTTAGACATTCTGAAAGACAATTGGAGTCCAGCATTGACGGTATCCAAAGTGTTGTTGTCCGTGTGCTCACTCCTCACAGATTGCAATCCACGGGATCCTCTTGTTGGCAGTATTGCCACTCAGTTTCTGACGAACCGTGAAGAACATGACAAGACTGCTCGTCAATGGACCAAGAAGTTTGCTACGTGAATGCTGCCCTGCCCTCTAGATTCTCGGACATTGTTTGTGTTGATGCTAGTCTTTGTCACTGACCGTGCATCCTCAGCCCCCACAGGACTTATATTTCTAGATCAGATTTCGGCTACGTGATCAGCTAATTATAATAACTGTGGACAATTAAAAACAAAAAAAAAAAAAAATAAAAAAAAAAAAAAAAAAAAAAAAAAGCTGGGTAATATGTTTTTGCAGTTTTGCCACATTATCAAAAAAAAAACGTAAAATTAAAAAAAACTAGAAAATAAAAATAAAGAAACTTCCAAAATTATTCTTCCCCCACCCCACTCACTGAATTCCTCAAAACTTAAAAAAAATAATAAAAAACTAAAAATGCAATACGACGTTAAAATAAAAAATTGAAATAAATTTACCAGCTTATCCTAAAAAAAAGAAAAAAACAAAAATTTAAAAAACTGAAGGGGTAGGGAGTTGGAGGTGGGATTTAAAAAAAAAATTTTTTTTTTTTTTTTTAACAAGGATAAAAGTAATAAAAGAAAAAGGAACAAATTAATTGTTGGCATTTAAAATAAAGAGAAACATATATATATATATATATATATATATATATATATAAAAATAGATATAAATTAGTCGTGCTATTTTTTTTTTTCCTACTCTGCTCCTAACTCCCACCCCCATGCCCATTTATTTTTCACAAACAAAAAGAAATAAACAAAAAAAAAAAAAAAAAATACATATAACAACATTTTTTTCCTCTGTGTCCTTAATTGTGAATTTATAAAATAAAATGTATGTATTAGCCTCAGAAGTAGTAATAAGAGCCGGGGAAATCATCATGTATGTATGTACGTATCTATCAGCTTTTTTCCAGCCTCCACAGCTCTTTGGCTCCCCAAATTTTTTTTTCTTCCATCTTTCCTCACAAGATTGGCTTCATTAGTTAAATGGCTGTAATTAAATCTTGCTAAAAAAAAAAAAAAAAAACGTGTGAGAGATGTATAATGAAATCAAAAATGTCTTTCTTCTTGATTGTTTAAGTGAAGAAAAAAAAAAATGCTACAGCAAAAAATAAATAAATCAAAGGTAGGTAACTCTGGCTGGTTTCACAATCTCGGGGACAAAATCTAATTTTACAAGCACAAATTTGTGAGAAACTTTACATTTTTTTTTTCTCTCTCCTTCATTACAAAATTGCTAATATATCTCCTTATTCTTAAATTTATATTTTTTAAAATTTAGTCTTAAAAATAAAATAAAAAATTATTTTCTATAGACTTTAAGCTTAAATCTCCCCCACCACCAAAAAAAAAAAAAAAAAAAATCATCTTAAATGCTTAGGCTATTTCTTTCAACGTAAATTTCCATCCATGCATATAATATGTAACGGTTTGTGGCTTCATTCCCACCTACAGCTTTCGTTATTAGTTATTTTGTAGTATATTTATTGTATGTTCTGGGTTTTAATACGCTGGAATGACTCGTCTCACTTGTGTTTATGAAAATTTAAGTTCTCTTTCATTTTTTAATAAAAATTAAAAAAAAAAAAAAAAGCAAGATTTTTTTTTTTTTTTAAATTATACATTTTATTGCATGATTTTTTTTTTTTTTTTGTTTATTCCAAATATTCTACCTCTGTTTCCTTAAGTCTAAATCTCTTGCTTTTTATTAAGAAATGTGTGCTTGTTCAATTTTAGGTATGTTACCCAACAAACAAATGAAAAGTTTGTTGGGTTTGTTTTTTTTTTGTTTTTTCTTAAAAATATTCTACCTCTGTTTAAGTAAATCTGAAACTCTTCATTTTTATTAATTCTTTTTTTTTTTTTTTAATATGTATACAAGTCTACATATTCAATCTTAGGTATGTTTAAAAAAATGGTCTTAAAAAAAATTCTAGACAATGTGGAATGAGACTGGATTATCTTCAGATTACATGTAAGTAACTCTGATCAAAGTTAATGCGTTAAGTTTGCAGGTAAAAAGATAAACAGCAGGTGAGTTTGCTATTTCTTTTTGGGTAATTTTTTTTTTTTTTTTTGACATGAATGGTTTGCCTACCTGTTTTAATTTTTACATCATTAATAAAAAGTTAATTTTCTGATGAGTAAGCCAACGTTTGTCCACATTTGGACAAACACTGGACGGAGGTCATTGGGAGCCAATAAAGGATTTGTTCTGGACAATGATTATTTTGGGTTTTTTTTTTTTTTTATTTTTTTTTTTTTAAAAAACAAAAAAAAAAAAGAAACACTGGACTTGCAAGTGGATATTTGGCATTCTGGGAATATCCCCACCACCACCAAGAGATACATCTCATCTAAAAGGATGTCAGAAATGGTTCATCTTCATTCTAATTATTTCTCAAGTTGCCATGCTTTGAAGTTAATCAAAATTCACATGTTGAATCATTTAATTTTAAGTCCTTTCCGAAAATCAAACTATAATTTCACCTACAATGAACACCACCGATTTTCCAGTAACTGATAACCCAACTACTTGTAACTCTTTAATATTTAACACACTCAAACCCGCCCTGTAAATATCCACTGTCAATGTTTAACACACTCCATGTATACTCTGCCATAATATATGACAACAGTATAGCAAACAACACAGGAAGTTGCACAAACAGTGACACCTTGACCATATGTTGCTCCTACCATCACTTTGTTTGATCAGCAAAGAAAATCTTTTTTCTTATGTGAACACACACATTATACATATAAAGAAATAATCATACATAGAATCAATCAGAATCTTTATATATAAAATATATGCTGCCTAATATTATATATATATATAGTGTGTGGTCAATCTTCATAGCCTGAAGATTGCATTTAATCATGAAAAACTGTAAATGTCCACTTTCATATTTACATACTCCACTGTGCTCAATATCAGGGATAGAATGTAAGGGATAGCAACTCTGAGGAATCGGAGAGCCGAGTTAAAAATTCCAATCAAATCCATTACATTCGCTTACGTGTTAATACCCTTGGGAAAGATATGAATCCTCTTCTCCCCCCCCCACACACACTTTGGGTAAATAGCAGGACAGATCTGGTTCTATAGCCTTGGATGGCAAATGGACTACCACAGAAAGAAATGGCAGTCTACTGTGGGAGGAAAAAATCTGCCACGGCAGTCATGGAAGACACATGATCGCCTAACTGACAGAATCCATAAATATAGCACACTATATATATATATATATATATATATATATATATATATATATATATATATAAATAAAGGTATATGTGTGTCAAAGTAAATGCAATAACCTTGCCAACATACTGTTCCTACTCCCAATGATTACTATGTACACATATGCATGTGCAACAATTAACACAGATTTTCCAGGGACTGATACCAAACACCTCTTAATGCAAACAAAATTCCAAATGGACAATTGAATTTCTCACTTCTAACCACTAAATTCACTGTCTATATTTCTGAGTTGAGGTATTATGTACATTTACATTATTCAGACTATTGTCCTCATGTTTGTCGCCATATTTATAACGTTTCAGCCGTTGTACACTCCAGCCTTCTTCAGGTGGTTGGAATGTCGAACTTAACCCTTTATTTCGCTCACTGAGGTAGACTGTTCTAGTTCCACATGCCATGTTTAATGGATGTCCGTTATCAGTTATCTTCTGTTAATTTCCCTCTCCAAGTTCTCCACTGCCTTAACCGGGTATTAAACTAACACTCTTTGGGTCCTGTCACTGGATCTAACCAACACCAGTGGATAAAGCGAAATAAAGGGTTCAGTTCAACATTCCAACCACCTGAAGAAGGCCGCAGTATACAATGGCTGAAACGTAATAAATATGGCGACAAAGATGAGGACAATAGTCCGAATAATGTAAACAGTGCACTAAATTCACAAATTTAAAATTAAAGTTTCTAACAATCTCAATATTTTCCAGATTCATTGATGATTAGAGGATTTTAGTTATTATCTAATCAATTCGTTGTTTGGTAGAAATGGCTAATCTGATCTTGTATACAGTGGGTGTTACCCCCCATGTTTCATTGTTGGAACATTTCATTTATCCCATTTGAAATTAGACTAGTTCTGAAATCCTGATATGGCCTGTGTTCTGACTTCAAATAATTGTCACATTGTGACCATTTGATGTTAATCGTCACATTGTGACCATTTGATGTTAATCAAAAGTCACACATATTTATTCATCTCCCTTTTAAATCCTCAGTTCTATCAAGATTGCAACATAAGGCAGAATAAAGAAAGTTAATGGAATCGTGTTTGAATTAATGTTACAAGTGAAAGAACTTTATCCAAAGAATTTGACATGGATAAACGTCCATAAGGCTATCAAAAAGAACATTTTTTTTTTCTTGACACTGCCATTATTTTAACTACCTTCACTTCTCAATAAATTTATTGTTTTAAAAAGTGATGATCAGAATGTTAATAAAACCTAGACATATGATGAAAGTAAATTTATACATTTTCTTTGTTCTTGAGAACTTGCAACAAAAATAAGAAACCATTTATTTATCAGATTGTGTATTTACATTATTTATATTGTTTATTGGAATGGTTGGCAAAACATCGGCTTTGATTCAAACTTTATGAAATGGTAAATAAAGATAGTTGATTCACTTTTTTTTTTTATAATTTAGTAAATAAAAAATTGTTTTCATATTTCTTTACAAATTGTTAAATGATAAAATTTGCATTGCATTAGTTTTAATTGTATTGGTTTTTAGAATGTTGCAAATATGAAATTATTCTTGTAAATAAACAATCTGGGAAATAAATATTAATATATTTGTTGTAAATTCTCAAGAACAAAAGTAAATGTATAAACTTTCTTTTACCATTTAGGTTTTATTACAATTTTAATCATGACTTTAAAACAATGCTGAGGATAGAAGGTAGTTAAAATAATAGCGGTGTCAAGGGAAAAACTGTCTTTTTGACACTCCCATTTTTTATGGGCATAAAATGTCCAAGTTTGCTCTTCAAGGTTTCTCAACCT